GCTGCCAATAGTGGAAGCTCCTGGATATCACAGGCACCCAGCCTCCATTTTGCGATGCAGTTGTTAAACTTTATTCCTTTTCAGACTCAAGCGCAAGAGTGAAATCAAACTCTCTGGATCATGTGTAGTAAGGCATGTACTGTCGAGTGTTGATCGATACCCTTGATTGACTCTTGAACGACATCTTGATTGACACTCAGTCGACATCTCAATCAATACTCGGGCGACACTAAACCAACACTCAATGAACATCTCAATCGACAAAGAAGCTTGATCAACAGTCGGTTCATATTAGGCCAAGTGCTGACTGACTCATATGTATCAATCAACACTTGATGGCAGGTCTGCAAAAATTAGTCAACTCTCAACCAAATGTTGACTAGATGTTGATAAAGTGTTAACTGAGTATCAATCAAGATGTTGAGTGAGATACTGATTGATATTCAATTGAGGGTCGATTAAGGATATCGATCGACACTCGACAGCAGATGCCTTAAGTATACATGATTCAACTCTCTAAGGTTACTTGCCAAATTTTGCTTCAAACAACTGACAAGTTGTAAGAACAAGCTTCAGCAAATGCCTGAAGTCAAGACATTAACAGTTCTATACATGTAACTTCTTGTACTTTTTCAAGGCAAGGAAGATTATACATTGTCAGCGATTTTCACTTTTATTAAAATTTCCAGACCTTCTTTCCACCCTGTATGAACCAGTGCACACTTACCTGTGCAGACAAATTTTCCAGAGTAACGCCAATTGAAAATGGGGCTGATGGATTGGTAACCTGACACAGGAAATAACACGTTTATTAAAAAACGTAATATGAAGTCAGTCCAAGCAGCACTGGCACAGCAGTGTGAGTGTGGTGTGAATGCGGTCCAGATTTGATTCCAGCCCAGAGTCATGTGCGTTGGGCTTGTTGTTTGTTCTTGCCTTCCCCTTAGTGTGTTTCTTCTGCGGACTCCAGTTTTCCCCTGCCCCCCCAAAAACCATTATTTCCAAACTCCAGTTCAACTTGAAAAGAGGACCCACATGAAAACCACCTATGTCTGGAGTAGCTTCCTCTCCAAAAAATGTAATTCATTATTATTATTGAAGGTCTGTAAAAACCAGTGGGTAATTAACCTTTACTTAACTCCTTACAAGACAGTGCACGTAGCAACTTAAACACCATATAGATCTGTACATTTTGGTTTTAAATCAATGTGTGCTGCTAGTGTATCAACTCCATAAATACAGCAACAACAAACCACCAAACTCTGAGTATATTAACAGGGTTCTTAGAGACTATCCTGAACTTCCTTCATGTTGAAAGTGGCTGTTATGCAGTGTATGCAATGAAACAAAAAGGATCCACAGAATTGCCTGTTATACATGTAACAACAAGTTCACCAATCACCAACTGTAGAGCATGAGGGTGGTATTCTAGCCTTTTGTTCAGGCTACAATGTGCAAGTTGTCAACAAATGCTCGTACCCACCTTCTATAGACCCTTTGCATAAATGCGCCTGAATTTGAATAACAATACTTTGTACATCCTTAGCCTCATACAGGGTGGCAAATGGTGAATACGAGACTTTGCGAAACGATGAGATTAGCGTTTTTCTTTGTGAGCCGAAGACATTTTGATTTCTTCAATTGCGAGACCGAGACTTTAAAGTGTTTTAAATGCGAACTCAAGACTTTCAGGTTCTAAGATGTTGTGATGTCATTTAACT